ATTTACTAATATAAGATCCATTATCTTATCGGCAAAGCCAGTAATTAATTCCTTGACTGTGTCCGATGGTGGTGTATATGGTTTTAGAAAATTATCGTCTGACTGATCCTTTAATGGGTCTATGTTGTTGGGAAAGCCTGTTACGGTTATACCTAGAGTGAGTAAATCGCTCATCCCGACTATTAAGTCGTACTTCTGTGACATCTTTACTATCGCAGCTTGGGTAGTGATATTCCTATCATTATGGGTACACACGGTGATACTAGACACCTAATAAACATTGTATATCACGTTTAGACCCTTCCTAGACGTTGATAGCACACCATAATCGTGTTTCTAACATAACCCAAATCTGACCTACCAACTAATACGTGCATGTTTATAACTCGCGAAATATTGGTTTTGTGATTTAGGTTCAAAAACAATAATTGTTCACAAGTAGTGTGTTCTTAATCCGTCCAAAGTGATAAAATAAGGCTCGGCCTATTAACACATTTAATTAAATCGGTCCTGCCCTAAGATTCTGACCCGGTTGGTAGGCGAATTTTTAGAACATAAAAAAAAATAGAACAATAAATACTTTTGTTGCCATCTATTAGGCCGATATGAGTAAGAGTGTATGAGAATGAATGTGAGTGTAAGTGTGAGTGTGGGTGTGAGTGTGAGTATGAGAGAGAGAGAGAGAGAGAGAGTGAGTGTGAGTGAGAGCGTGTACGTGTAACACTCAGCAAGCTCTCTCCGCCCTGCGCGGATAAATATAAATATTGCATAAAAAACAAATGAACTACCCTTTTTGATTAAACGCTTTCAGTCCCTGCGGCGTCCCAGTCGTGTTTTATTGACATTTATGAGGCCGACCGCACAGATGACAAAATCCGTCCAACTACATAAATTGATTTTTATTAATAAAATTTTGAAAATACGTCTGCACCGGCAACAAAATCCGGTCTCAATTTTTGAGAAGTGGACAAAATCCAGGCCTAGGATTTTGTCGTACAAAAACATATAGCCTTCTAAAAATAGAACAAAAAACATAATTAAAATCCGGCTATGTATTACAAAATCCGAAATTTCAAAATTTTGTCTGGAATTTTGATGTCCAATAAGGTTGGAGTAACTGGAGAAATTGAGCGTCGTAATGGATTTCATTTTTTGTAACAAACCGATTTTGAAAAGTTCCGTACCCGATATAAATTCAAAATCTAATTGACCAATAGACACACAGTATTCGTTCTTTCCCCACCGGATTTTTGAATCCGGATTTTTACCACTGACGCGGTGACTGCGGTCGGCCTTTTGATTCTCTGTTCTGAACTTCTGTCACTGTGGCCTGATCATGTCCTAAATCCTGATGCCTGATGATTGTCCAGTGTCCAGAGTCCAGACCTCAGATCTCAGTTTTTGTGAGTGTCTCTAAATATTTTGACACCATCTACCATTCCTGAGTTGTTTTTGAGAATAATACTCCCGTTTGAGGCTTCAAAAGTTCAGAGTTCAGACCTTTGGCTTTGAGTCTTTGACAGTCCTCTGAATCACTAAATTCAGACTTCAGAGTTCAGAGTTCAGAGTGATTTTTTAGTGATCACTATTTGTTTAACTTTTTATCAGTGATCACTGGCCAGTGGAAAGGGAAAAAGGTCAGAGACTCGACAGTCGAGTGTCGAGTTGTCGAGTTGTCGACACTTCGATTTTTGAGCCTTGCGAGTAGTGAGTCGCGAACTCGCGTCTTGTGAGGCAGCGTAAGCGAGGCTTCGACCCATTTGACCATTTGATGTCTTGTATTTTATCACTTTTATCAAACTCTTTTGCATTCAGTCGAATGATCGACTCGCCAGTCGCCACTGGCCAGACTCCAGTGAACTGGCCACTGGCCAGACCACCAGACCGTACCCCGGACGCCACCAGAGGCCAGACCACTGACCACTACAGTACCATGTAGGATTTAGTCCACTACTGGGCCTGGCCAGCCAGTGACCCCTACTTTATTATAGTAGCCACTACTCTGGCTCTCTCTCTACAAGAGTAGAGCAGTATAGGGCTTTACAGTCTACACTCTACTACAGACTACAGCAGACAGCAGTACTACAACAGCAGGCCGGCAGGTCATATTTATTTTAATTTTAATCCTTCTGTTGGGGCCGTTGGGGGTGATGTCAGCCTGTCAGTGTCAGGCCGTCAAATGTCAGCCTCTGTCAGGGGTGCAGTTTGCTGTATTTATGCAAAATGCATATGCATTCTGCACAGACAGTAGATAAATACTGACTACTACTCTTTCTAGTCTCTATTTAAAAATAAATAAATGCCAGGCCCTGGGCCCTGGGGGAAAAAAGCACAATATAAAAGTACTCTACTGTACATACATATGTATTTTAGTATATAAAAAATATATAAAATTAATTGTCAATTGTTACCCTCTCTCTAGCTAAATAAAAATCTAGTGACGAGTGTGCGTTTGTGGGTGTGTTTTAGCAATGTGTTATTTTTTTAAAATAATACATGTGTCCGTCTGTCCGATTAGAGTGCCCCTCCTGTGTGTAGGGGGCTGTGGGGCCCTGAGCTTAGCTCAACGTTATGGGGGTACGGGTCTACGGGATAGGAGTTGAGCGTAAACGCATATTTATTCAATTTAGAACGTTATAATGAGACCAGAAGAGCCTGCCTAAATTCATTTATAGAAATAGTTCATATAATGAACATATAGTACACACTGAAAGATTTAGACCCGCCAGTTGCACCTATGAGCATACAAAGGACCGCATATAAAATAAAAGTTTAACGTAAACGTATATATATTCGATTTATAAAAGTTTTAACGGAAAAAGGTTTGAGGTTTGGCCCTGAGTGTATTATGTACTGTATTTTTACAGTGTTTAGTGGTAGACTGTGACTCCTTTTAGAATTTAGCGGAACATAAAAATTGAAAATCGATTGTTTAAAAGAATAAATAAATCCGACAATTGTTTGCAATATTTCGGAAACACAAAAAATAGCCTTCTGAATCATTTGAATCATTATACAGCAGAAGAAAGCTAATAAATAAATATGCACACACATCATCATATAATAGTATATGTGTGACACGAGTTACACGACAGTTACGAACTGCGACACACAGGAACACACACTTAAAAACAACTATTTATGTACACTGACGCGCGAGAAGAAGAAGCGAGAGATAGTGAAAGAGGGAGAAAGTTTAATTGAAGAAGGCCATGAAATGATTGAAATCGAAGATTTGCCCTTTTTAATTTTGTTTTTTTAAAAACAAAAAAAAACAAAAAAAACAAACAAAATTATTGCATACATACCCTCCTGTAAAATTTTCAGAAGCGAATTGTCTCCGATTTTCGAAAGCATCGGAGTTGTCTCTTAGGGCTGTCTGACTGACTGACTTATCTCCCCTGCTCGTCCTGTGACCTGTCTCATTGTGATATTAGATATACCTCTTTGACAGATTCTTTCTCTATCACTATTTCAGAATTTTCAGTATTTCTACTCTCTACTTACTCTCACTATTATTGAAGCTCTCTCTCTGACACGTCACACGTATTAAGACTCAACAAACTTAGGACTTTCAGGATTTAGGACCTAAAGGTTCAGTCGACTCCATAGAATCTAAAACATACTCTGATAGTCACTCTCTCTATTTTGAAATTTTCTCTCGATATATCGATATGATTGATTTAGAAGGCTATGCATTATCATTGTAGTCTCCTGGGCTTTTCATTATGACGAGTTGACATATTAAAAGACGGTCGGAAACTATCTCACTATGACGACACGTCCGGACATGTCTTTTATTACAGTCAGAAGTCCGATAGACGTTATTTTTTTAAACATGATGATAGAAGACATACAAATCGCATCGGGTCGGAAATAGTTTACTACGAAGACATGTCTTAAATTCTTATTCGTATAGCAGAGGCCAGCTAATCTCTACGACTACTCTACTCTACTCTCTACTAGTGTCACTAGTAGAGGGAGGAGAGAGAGCAACAGAGAGACTGTATGTATGCAGTATGTATTTACTCTACGACAGTAAATAAATACGTAGGACTGTAGGGGAGAGACCTGAGATCGAGAGAGTACATAGTTATTTACGTAGTAGAGAGGCGAGAGAAACAGGCTTCCTCTCTACTGAGTCTACAATCTACACTCTAAGTAGAGAGAGAGGGTGTGTACTGAAAATACTGAGACAAAAGTCGCAAGATCAAGAGGTTGTCTGTCAAACAGGGATGGGCCAAGGGGGTCCCGATCAGGGTAGGGACGGCAGGGGGCGGGGAGGTCCGAGCTTCCGTGGTTTCCACTTTCCACCCACTCACCGGCCGCAGAGTACTGTCTCACTCCCTCTCGGTGAGAGTCTCAACTCTTCGCCAACCAGTTTTTTAGTCTCCTATATACTAAAATAGAACAGGCAATCGCTGTGCTAACTATCAGTCTGTCACTGACAATTTGTAAATCTGACAATTTGTCACAGTAATCTGACAAAACGGTTGTGCTCATCACTCATCAGAGGGCTGGGGCCCGCGGGGGGTCACATCAATATGTGGCAAAATGCACAATCTCAACCTGCTGGTCTGTGCTGGAATCGCCTAGAAGGGATTTATATTATATATTTTTCTCTTTTTTTAAAAACAAAATACAAGAAGGATAGCAGGTAATAACAATTTGTATTTTTATCACATAATATATTTAGCAGTCCGTACGCGACAAAATCTGAGAGATGCTTGGAGAAGCTTTTGTATCTCATTTTATACGTGTACACAAGAAGAGAGACCGAGAGAGAGAACAGAGATTTGTGAAAAATGAAAAATGAATCGCGCCAAAAAATTGCACAGTGCTTCTAAAATGGGCACGATGATGTGTATATGATTCACTACATCTGAAGCGAACAAAATAGTCTTTCTGGCTTACCAGTATTCATTATAAGCAACCAGTGCAGTGTAACAAGTGCAGTGTAGCTCAATATTGTGCAAGGGCTCTTAGGAATTGCCGACATACTCGCAGATACAGATTCGATCGTCATTAACATCAAATGCAAAAACATTTAGCCAACACTCCACTCTAGTATGAGGCCCGACAGTAGTTGTAAGTATCAGATCTATTTGGGTGATGGACACTGATAGCCAGGATAAAGTTATCGATCAAACTTCGAACTAGAACTGGTGATACGAACGAGAATGCATACTTTAACACGCACACACTCCACGATGCGTGATGCCGAGCCCCGTTTTAGGCAGCAACCTGCTCACGGGAAAGGGGTTTCTTCACATAGTCACGATATGCTTCAAGAGGGTATGTATACCAGCTCTCTCCGCCTCAATTTAGCTCCACAAAAAAAGACACCCCACTTCATAAAGAGAGGTTCATATCGAAGAAAGTCGTCTCCCGATGCGCCTCGAGCTCCAAGTAATTTTTCGAATCTGCAACTAAATACAGCAGCCACTGTTGATGAATTGTGCGCACAGCAAAACGCCAGCAAGGAGGCGATTGCACTATTCCTACAAAACAAGCGAAAGGCGCCTATGAGTTCACTTTCGTCTCGTTCTTTGAGCTCACTCGCTACTAATCCTCCGACAGTAAAGGAGGAGGAAGAGGTCATTGACATCTTGCCAGTGGTTACAAACGATTTGGAGGCATCTGGTACTGTGGAGGTCGTGATTGACGACGACGACGACGACGGTAATGATCACTTTACACTGATGGATTTTCTAAAGTCAACTCAAGTGGTTGATATCTTAGATCAAGAGATGTCACTTACGGATTTTTTACGGGTATCCGAAGACTTTGGTCCGGGAAAAATCCAAGCCGGGCCGGACTCCAAGGGTAGTATTAGTGGGGTAAATTCGCAAACAAACTCACCTGCGACGGATGTACTCAGTTGTAGCAGCAGCAACAACAGTATGGCTAGCGGAAAAAGCCTCGGCGAAGCTAAGAAAGCTACACTCTGCTCGAGTCCCAGATACGATGCACAAGGGGGTGAAAACCCGATGGGGGAGGACACACCCGAAAGCAAACTTAAAGCACCTGATGGGCTTGCGAATGCAAAGCGAACATTTGTTCACAGGAGTAAGAGTATAAATAATATAGAGAACACAAAACGAAGTGGTAGTTTCAAAGGCTTACTAAGGAGCAAAAGCAACACCGCGAGTGATAGAGTCCAGTGCGCCGCTGTAGCTCCAGCACTTACACCGACACAGATACTCACACAAACTAGTTTAAATACAGGCGTCCATGAAGTCCCTATCAAAATCATACACCCAAACACACATAACAATTGCTCACATGTCTCATTGACGTCAACAAGGAATAAACCCAGGGCAGAGCGTGTACAGAGTATGGGCCAGGAAAAAGATATGAGAATAGGCCAGCATAGCAACGACCAGCAACCGCAATTAAGGAAGCAGTCTGCCCCCGTTTCTAGCAGAAACAGTTGCAGTAATAGCAGTCTCGGAGATAAGGAGAAGGACAGTGAACGGGAGTTTAAGGAAAAGGATATTCGCAGTTCACCCAAATCACCCACAAAACATATATCGCGGGCGTGGAAACGTGTAACGGAAATCAAATCGTCGTTTATATCCACTCCTAGCAGCACGGACGGTGATAACAGTTCCAACAGTCAGATCGATAGTAATAACGGGGAAGGGCCTATTTTCGGCACCTACCAAACCAAGGTTAATAATGCTAAGTGCTCGAAGACGAGAGAGTGCGTAACCTGGGGCGGGGTAGATTCAGTCACTGCCAAAACACCCCAGCACATGTACAAACACATTCGCGCAGAAAGCAAAAGTGGTATTCCACTATCGGCGAGCGATGAAGGTTCAGAGATGAGCGGAGCGTGTGTGCAACCGCCTCTTGCGGTCGCTAGGCAACGACGTTCTTTGCCAATGAATGAACTAGCGCCATTAAATGCGGACTCGGTGACATGCGATAAGGTATTCCTACATGACGAGTTATTCGAAGGCTGCTGCAACAACACAACTGGGCTGGCGCAAGGACTCGGGTAAGTTTTAAACAGGTGTATTTCGAATTAGACCAAAATTTGATTGCTCTACAGACTTACAATACAATGGCTATATATATTTATACACCTTGCCCCATTCTTCACATAGCATATGGGCCGACAAAGATGATTCGACATATGCCGGTGAATGGTTCGAAGGAGAGCCTCACGGCTTTGGCTCATACGCATCCTTGTCTCGGCGCTGCTGGTTTGAGGGACGTTTTGTAAAGGGACAAGCACACGGATTTGGAAAGCTTCTATTTATCGATAGATATACCCTGGATCCAGTGTACTTCTACGGCGAATTCAGATTCGGAAGGTATGAATAATCTCCGAACAAAAAATTCTAGAAGATATCACGTAAATATTTTGACATTCTCATCTATTCTAATGCGAATCTACCAGCACTGCGTGTTCTCAAAGCTTATTCTCCAATACACATATAGATACATACACGGGTCGCTTCCCAAGGACGAAAGGCAGAGAGCCAACAACGCCGTCATCATCGCACGCCGTGCTAGTTTCTGCGCTAACAAGCAAAGCGGTGAAGCTATGCGGTCTATTGTGACAAATCGACTGCAGACATGGACGCGACGGATAGTGGGGCAGCCAGGGTCGATTCCAGCACAGCACTGTCCGTCACCACGCATAGTCACATCCGTGAAGGCCAGCTTCTATTGGCTGGATAATCCTGTGCTCAAATGCCAAGTTTATTTGCCACAGATAACTACTGAAGCTGTGGTGGCCAGGGGTGGCCATATCAAGAAACGATGAGTACGCGCTACGCACATGACGTATAGTCTCCTTTCTACACCGAACTCAACGTCATCAAAATCGATCAGGCGCGAAGAAAAACGAATGACTTCTGACAGCCTAGAGGGCTGCCATTAGTGGATTGAGCTTGAGTGTACGGATCACATTGCAAGAGCACATTAACAAATAGGGATATCATATCAGCCATTTGCACACGTACTGGAGTGTGCAAGTGAATACAGTAAGGTGACATTTTATCGAGAATACTACAAATTAAGCCCCACACAACAGAGGCATCCAGACAAGAATAGCCAGCGCCATAGCTGGCTCAGATAAATTTAACAGATTTAGATTTTATAAGAGATACCCTTCAATTGATAATTAAATTAATACTAGACTCACTAATTATGAAGAACGGTACGTTGTTTGGAATAACATATCTATATTGAGTAGGAACTGTACACCGAGTAGACATACGCAGATTGCAACAGCTTTTTGATGTATTGTAAGGAGGTCAATAGTACACAATTTGAGGCGGAAAAATCTGAGGGAGTAATCACGACCTACTTTGATCACAGAAGTAACATGTATACGTTCTTGAGCCGCATTACAAACGCAGGCTCGTGACCGTTATACCAAGCTATTCCGTTTACCACTGGCAAGCAGAAAAACAGGCGGATGCCTCTCGCAACTAAATTATTATGAACCCACAGATAGGTCGTGTGAACTTGCTAAACCTCTTCGACTATTGCTGTAGTTTCGCTTGACTTGTAAGAATTGCAACGCCTATGCACTCGGCGTTGCAGCCATCATATCGAGGCTCTATTCTCGATAGCATCACTCAGAGCTGGGTACTACCAACCGAGTCACACAAGTGCGGATAATTGCAATCACACGGGGTCGACTTAGTTTCACGGAACGTCAGCGATATCTAATAAGTTGGAAGTCGGTTACACATGCCAATTATTAGGACTTATATTGCATCAAGCGTCACAGAACAAAGCAACCAAACTAAGTATCGGCCAGAAAAAGAATTTTAAAAAAGAATTAAAAGCACGTGGCAATTGATTGTCGATATGATACCAACACGGCAAGAAAGAGACCTAGAACCAACAAGTTTCGTATAGGTTTCCACATAATCTAGTGCAACAACTCACCCTGAACTGCCGTTCTCGGAATGAGTTATCCACATAGTCAAACCTCGTCTCGGTAATAGCGTGTGTCCAGTCATACCGGACTTCCCCTGTGAATGCAACCAGCGATCGTGCAGGTACAAGCACAGACATCGCTCGCCCATCTCTGTGTTTGAACTCCATCACAACCCGCCCACACAAGCTGACTGATATGATCGCGCCCCTGAATGGCGAGTGTGTGTCTACGTGCGCAGATATCCCTGCCCCTGATGTATGTATGTAGCCGACATTTCATTACCTTCGATAAGAAACATTTATTAGAACAGCTCTCTTGTGCAATACTCAATCCAAATTAAAACAAAAAGAAAACTGGTATTGCCTGTTTGTATAGTGCACACCTACCTGGTTTGTACTCATTCACTGTTAGCTGGTCTGGCACTGGTACGGGTTCCACGGGTGATACCTCATCTACGGGGTTTAAACTCTTCATACGCCGAAGCTTTCCTATTATAATGTCCTGCACTTCTTGGGGGAACCCCGGCATACTATCGTCCGCGTGCCGATTGGTGGAGTAGTTGAATCGGATGCTGGATAGGGCATCAAGTGCAGGTAAACTTAGTCGGGCAATACTATAGTCAGATATGATCCTCAAGATTTTGGTTCATGCGAGGACACTATTGGAAGCCTCATATACACGCTACATCGACAGACATAGTATACAAATCAACCGCCTGATGAATCTAAAGGTAGCACACTATTGTAAACACAGTCAGAGGTACACAGCTAATATAAATGCATTATTTGAAATATATATTCTTATAAACCACAGGTATCAGGAAAATCTTGACCCTGCATAGGTACATACGAGACTCTGGAGCCTTTACCTAATATCGATGTGCCCGTTGTAGAAAGCCTCACAAGCGTACGCAAGCAATCGAACATGTCTTTGTCCATCAATATGAGCGAATACGCCCTACTACGACACCACGTGTCGCCAGAAATGTCGCATACATGAGCGTTTTTGAGATAAAACATATTTATTGTCAGACAACCTGAGCAACTATGAAATTGTACCACGCGTAGCATGTATAGAGGCGTTCGACAAGGAACACAACAGTGGAGATGTGATAAAACAAAGTTTACATAACAATATATTCAAGATATCAATATCGCCCGCCTGCTGTTTGGGCGCAGTGGACGATGTTCCATCAATCGTATATACTTCGCGACAGCAATGGTAAACTCACATGTCACCTTGTGGGGATCATAGTACACAGAACAATACTCAGGGACATATAGTAAACTCGCATCACTCTAGATTGCCTAAAATATCTCAGATCCGTGATCCGGCGTCACCACACCATTTGCAGATATACGAAAGCAACGCATCCACACGCATTGCATCACAACGCATCCACACGCAACGCATCCTCACGCATTGCATCACAACGCAACTATGCCCTCGTAGCTTGCAAAATATAATTCAAAGCGCAGAAAGCGTCACTAATGTTCACATAAAAATGTCCATATACTGCGAACAAAGCATAATCGGTACTCTTATCATTTCCACACGGCATACCCGTGGTGCTGCACACGCCTCCTGGACAATGGCTCCCATTTGTATCTATCCAGACATTGCTTAAGAGTGCTTTCCTCTTCGGCAGTGATAAAGTTCTCCACAACCACTAGTCCCGGTACAGCTCGAGCATCCTGCACAGTAGCAGGCACAGGTAGCTGAATGGAGTCTTCGATTAGGTATTCTACAAGAAGTGGTATACTCGCTTCTTTGCTATAAGTCCGCTTTAGTAGTGTGCACGCACGGCCCGCAAGTGCCTTGTGTGCGTCTATGGCACACTCAAGTCCTTCGTATATCACTACACAGTACGTCTTACCCGGGAAATTCAGCAGGTATGCAATCTTCCCAAGCAGACTACAGGCAGCCTCGAAGTCGTCCACTGCGATACCTTGCTGGTTGCCTGCGTTTACCAGACATACTGCACGTGTCGGTGTACTACTTATTTCTGCCCCACTTTTGGCAAGATACTCATACGCTTTTTTATCCTTCATAGTATAGTCCTACCACAAACAATTTCTTCACTATATCTATTAAAAGAGGTTTACAGACTCACAGCGAACAGGTGTGAGATCATTCGTGCATTTGTATACAGAGCGAGCAGCTAATACTAAATTGATCACAATTACCCGGCCAAATATACTAGATATATAAAATGTTGGTCCCGTGTGAACAAATTATGTGCATAAATCTTGGGGTAAAGTATTTACATGATGTAGTGACGCTAGAGTCTACTACTAGTAGAGGTCAGTACATAATCATTTTAAAATCATGAGCACACCTGAGAAAAAGGCAAGGATATACTTTGCTGGATCCATTCGTGGGGGTAGAGAGGATCTAGAGATATACAAAGAATTAATTACCTATCTACAGACCAAAGGGACCGTATTGACTGAGCACATTGGGTTGGACGACCTCGATGACCTAAACAAAGAGAAGAAACGTACAGATGTGGATATCTGGGAGAGGGATATGGAATGGCTATACAGCTGTGATGTGATTGTAGCTGAAGTGACACGGCCATCGTTGGGTAAGTAAGAATACATAAATATTTGCTTCTGTGCTTATTTTTAAAACACAATGCAAGGCTTTGTACGCAGTTCATACACGAGTACACACACACACACACACACATATATATATATATATATATATATACACACACACACACACACACACACATACACACACACACACAC